CATTTAATCCAATCCTCTGGTGCCAACAGTGTATACTGATAGCGCTGGTGGGGTCACCATTCTATTTTCATGTATTCTTATTAAACACAATATCAAATTGAAAATAGTGAAAGCTATATTATATCATTATGTATAAATCGCACAAAGTTATGAGCAACCGAACGAAGTCGAGACAAGCCACTAGTCCATTCTAACGTGAGATGATAAACAAACACCACCGTTATATTTACTTTTAAGCATAAAAAAAAGTAGGATGTGTCGTAAAAAACCGGAAATACATACATTGTTTACATAAGTGTATACAATTTTTATGTTTCCACTAATGCGCCATCTACTCAATTTTTTTTTTTTGTAAATACTCTCTTTCCAAAGGTTGTCTGTAAGAGATTGCATTAGCGATAAGACCGCCTTTTGTACTTAGTTTTTTTTTTTTGTTTTTAATTTGTTCATGTCCTTTATATGTTGGTGCAATAAAGTGTTATAATAATAATAATATAATAAAATAAAGTAATTATTGCTAATCCAGAAGCTAATATACATACATACACGACTTATTTAAGTTTTTTATGCAACGCAATTTAACTCCTATATTTCTAATATATATTTTTAAAGTATAATAATGGAAAGGTGCACCCGCTTGCGCTAACGATTTACACTGGCGGGGCACCAATGGAGGATGATAAGATGACTATGAGGTCAGGTCAATTCGATCGTTGCAAATTAATAATTTAACATGCCAGTTTCCAGAGGGAACCGCGTAGCAATCCCCCCTCCCCCTCTATATTGCTAAGAATATAGTAATAATATTAATAATTTCAGGACAATTCACACAGCGCCATCTAGACCCAAGTTAAGCTACCTAAAGCTTGTGTTATGGGTACTAGATAACTGATACAAATACATAGATATATTTTTTCTTATCGTAATTACATATTAGACGTAGAATATTAGACTTAGATGTAAGTAAACATCAAATATTTTCACTCAGTCTCTCTGCATTTGATTTATATTGCTTTATTACGGTTTAAGTACTGCAACTGGGCAATTGCCTCATATATTTTCTCAAGTCTGTATTTGAACTGAAAGAAACCGACGCCATATTTCAGGGTAATGACCTACGGTTTTACAAGTCCCGCCAAAGGTCAACTGTATAAATATATAAAATCGAAGTGTCCGTTTGCAATTTCAAATTAATAGCTTGTCACTAAACTATATTGGTACTTACATCAAATTATTTAAAAATTGTTGTCTGCCTGTTTGTTCTTGTTCATCTCGGAAACAGCTAGGCTCATTTTGACGGGACTTTCACTCGTAGAGAGCTATATATATTATAAGGAGTATCTTAGGATACTGTTATTCTAGATTTTATTATTTTAACAAAAAAAAAGATTAAATTCCACGCGTACAAACCTGCGAGTATCAGCTAGTTTGAGTATAAAATATTACATGTCCATTTGAAGCAATATAAATAAAGTGAACGTTTCAATATGTAGATATCTTATTATTATTAATATTATAAACGCGAAAATTTGTGAGTATGGATGGATGTTTGTTACTCTTTCACGCAAAAACTACTAAAGGGATTTCGATGAAACTTTACAGTTATATTGCTTACTCTTCAGAATAACATATAGGCTCTAAATTTCACGCGGGTTAAACCAAGTGCACAGCTAGTATATAATATATTAATGACACTTAACATAGTGCTCGTTTTTTTTTTTTAAATATGCGGATAGAGACGATATGTATGGCTCAGTTAAGTTATATGGCGAAGGAGTGCAAATAGACAATATTTTCTCTTATAATAATGCTAAAAAAATAATACATAAAGTTATTAACAAAACATTACGCATATCCTTTTCACACACACCCATATAATTATCTCTGATTCTAATTTATGCAGACAACAGCTTGCAAATATGCCGTACTTAAAAATAATTACGCAGATTCATAAAAAAAACAAATTGTAAGTAGTGACGTCAGTGTACCTTGAATGTTCCATTTTCAAAATCATTTTGAAACTTCCTAAAACGCTCGAAACATAAAAAAACATTTGGCTACATTTTTTCCCTCCACAAATAAAGCACGACCGTCACTTTTTTATTTCAAATGTGGAAGCAAGTCTTTTCACCACACATAAGCTTGAAAGGCACTCGTGTTTCTATTCCCTTTGAGATTTTGAATGTAATCCGTTTTTGAATGTCGTCAATAATTTGAGGGTCGCAAATGTATAAAAGAGACATTTCGGGTTACGTTTAATTTATATGAATTATGTGTGTAAATTAAACCCTATCTAAAATGTCTGCCCTGGGGAAAACCCTTGCGGTAATAGATTAATATTACGTTGGACCCTTAAGCATGAGTCCAAATGTCAGTTTACCTATTCGTATCAATAATATTAGTTTCAATTTACATTATAAAGTACTTAGCAGCAAAGTAAATGATAGAATTACCGAATTAATATTGTACATTTGTAGATATATGAATCGTTTATTCGATCGTAATCAGTCACATCAATCGATAAATGTTGTTATAATATATCTGACTTTTTTAATTGATAAAATTTAATTAAATATACTATTTATTATAGGTTTAATTTCATATGTACATAATATGTTATATGTAGTGTTATTTTTATATTGATACGACATTCTTCTTTTTTTTTTCGATATTATATTTAATATTCTGACATTTAATTTTAATGATGGTAGCAATTTACGGACAAATATATGTAACATCTCTTTAGTTATTTATTCCTAATAATGTACCAGATTAGGTTGAGGTCCACGCAGTCCCTCCTGAAAACCATAGCGGTAAATTGCCATTTGCTAGATGGGCTGACTGACCCAATTTCATTATCATCCTCCAATGGTGCTTCTCCAGCATATACCTTTAGCACTGGCAGCTTCAGCATTACTTTTACAAAAAAAAAACATTCTAAATTAAATAAGTTTTTTTTTTAATTATCTCAACATAGAAATAAAATAAGAACATCATACAATAAACCATATCATTAGACTTCAGCTAGACATATCTCCATTACTCATAAGTTTTGATGATAATTTACTAAACGGCCACAAAAGTAATTTAAAGTTCGTGAATTTTATTTTATTACGCCATAAAACATCATCAAGTAAACATAAATAAGACCGTAGTCCCCTCAAGTTACTCTCTAAGTGCCACTTAAGATCTTCCACATAAAATTGATATAGTAAAACAACTATTTCTGCAGCAAGAAATCAGCTCATTTCACATTCAGAAAGCGCCTTTCCATTACAACCCAACTAAATTTAACAACCACTCTCGACGTCATCTTTTTCCGATACCCATTTGCTTTAAGGGCCTCTCGAAGACCACATTCAATATAGCCGGGTTATATTTGCAGAGCGTTGCACTTTTGTCGTATACAAGTTGGTAATGTCATGCGCTTGAAAAGTTTAAGTGCCTTCACACACTGCTTCTAGAATATTCCTAATATAATATAATTGCATATATTGAATAAATGAATGATTGCGATGACTAATTTTCAAGCGAACACGGTAATTAGTCACATACATTGTTTCATAAAAAGCACATTCGTGATCCGCTATAATCTGGCATGCAAAAAATTTATAAATTTTTAAGTAATTATAAAAATTAATAACAAATTAAATAAATAGTATATAAAGTAATTATTATAATAGTAGTAAATAAAGTAATAATCGTAATTAATATAAATGGCAATAATAGAAAATTATAGTATTTCTTTAATGTCGTGAATTTACTAATGTGAACTAACTTACAAAGGTTTTTTTGGAAGTAAACTAAATAAAGTATTAGTTGAAGTAAAGTAAAGTAGAGTATTAAGTAAAGTACTAAAGTAGTAGTAGGTAGAAATAAAGTATTAATCATTAAATGCTTCGTCTTCTGTATTGAAAAGTTTCGAAATGATATCTCAATGCAGCTGTACTCATTTTATTTCGTTCTGGAATTATATTCATTGTGTAACTAACTTAACTAACTAATAATTTTTATTCCACGTCCAATCTTCTTGTTTGTTCCGGCTAATCTCTGAAAATGGCGGGACCGATTGTGACGTGACTTTTTTTGGCAGGTAGCTGATGTAATATGGAGTAACTTAGGCTACTTTAATTTTAGAAAAATAGAGTAAAATTCCACGCGGACGAAGTCGCGGGGACAGCTAGTTATATATATATTTGCAGTGCATTGCGCTCTTCTTCTGTAAATGTTAAGAGCACATCACACACGAGTTCTAGAATAAAACTAATAGCACATTAAGAAATGAGCTAGGTAAATAAATAAGATTACTTTATATTTATTTATTTACCGTACCTAAGTAGACTTTGAACTAATTTGTCTGCGTGGGTACTCGTTCCTCATTAACCTTTTTCTTTAAGCCTTGCGTGGCTTATATCTTTACCTTTCTTCAGAAAGAAAAGACAAAAAAATAATGTTACGATTATGAAATCGACGAATTAGTCTGAGAAGAAACACAACTGAAGATATAGTTATTGTCCTTACAAATTATTTTCTTTTAGACTTGACTACACCACTATATAGAAGACGCTAGAACCACTCCAGAAGCTATAAAGAAAAGAGAAAGAATCACTCTATACCTACTACAATAAAATCATTTTTATGTTACTCTAAGAACAATTAAAGGAGAGTTGTGCATAATGTGTAATGCACAACTCTACTATTTCAATTACTTGATTTTCCTAAGTGTTAAAATTGACTATATTTATTGCACTGGTTTACTTCCTACTGGTTCGATTCCTTTGCACGTTACAAATATTTCTATTGAGTGAGTATGATTGTTTGTAATGGTATGGGTGTTTTCTATATATATTATGTATGTATTTATAAAAAAAATTAAATAGATCTATCAGCTGTCTAGTACCCATAACACAAGCTCTGCTCACCTTGGGACTAGATGACGCTGTGTGGCTAATTCAGGTATAATATTTTTATTTTTATTAAAGAGCATTTCATTGTTACAGGCATACACACCGACCGGTTTCGAAAAATATGGCTACACATGCACTGTGGCCGACTACAGAGTAAACTTCTCAGTATGGGACACATCGGGTAAGTTTTATATTTATTTATAACAGTATATTTTATCTGCCAACGGAAAGGCAAAGGTACAAGATCATACAGCTTAATCTTCTGTTATTTATTTATAGCAGTATATTTTACCTACCAATGGAAATGCCTTTGCATTTCCATTGGTAGGTAAAATATACAAGATACCATACATCTTAATTTTCTTTTTTATAATATTATATATATATATATAATATAAGATACTATTAGATAGTCACGAAACGAGGTGTTAATCTAATTCCAATATCGATTTTCATGTCAATTAATAATAAATAAATAAACAAAAATAGAATTAACCAACTAGAGATTTTTTCTTTCATTAAGAAAAGTTCAACAAATAGAAAGATTGAGAGCACTTTAGCATTTGTGATAGTAATGTGTATACAGTAAAATTTTATTTATCAACATCAGTATCATTATTTCATAGTCTCAGACTATGAAATAATGATACTGATGTTACGTTTTAATAATAATATTGCTTATCGTTCCATAGGCACTGACTGAAAAAGTTTTCACTCTGTATAAAAAAATTACACTCTATGTTTGAGCCGTAAAATCTCAGTATACATTGTCGATACTGACGCCCTAATCGCGTATTCATAAAGTTGAATATCCATTATCATACATTGGCACAAGTCACGTCACGTAGTGCCCATCTGCTTCCAAATGGACGTAAAACGAGACAAGTCGATTCGATCGTCACGCTAACTCAACTCGTTCATACATCACGAAACATGGCGATCACCTATTTTCTTCTATATTCGTAGCTACTAAAAATACTCTTTACTTTGTTATCGACAACTGACACTCATGTGGTTATAGCAAGATGATAGAATTCATTTTGCATATTTAAAACCTTCGCAACTACGCGTTTATTATATTAGAGTGACACTAGGTATGAAAATGTAAAACGTAGTGATTATTTACTCAGTAAAACAATTAATTACAAATTAAGAAAAAAATACTTAAACCAATACTTCAGCTTAACACTCTCATTGCCATGGGAGCTGCTGGCGGGCCCCAAGGTTTGAGTGTAGAGGGCCATTTTTATTTTAAAGAAACATGAACAGCAGGCCCTGGGTGTCGCCAGCTGCCTCCAAAACATTTTGTCCATTACGCCGCTTATAATTTTCTAGAATTTGTCAGTGACGCCAGCCATAGTTACTTGGCCCCCACGCCGGCCGCCCCCTTGGCTCGCTGAATACGTCGTTTTCCTGCGCTTTCGCAACTTTCGGGATTAGAGACAATTTTGTTCCATAGAATATTATTTTATAGTGTGTAAAACATAACATATATTATTATAACGACAAGAAGGTAAATCAAGCGTAGAGGCCAAAAAACTCATGAAAAAAAACTACTGTATGCCTCACTTGTCCAAGGAACCTAGCGTTTGTGCGTCTTGTGTTGCCAATATACACAGCAAAAACTATTTTTAATTTTCATATTGAAGTTTTATGTTAAAACAATGAAGATTTGTCACAATTTATTTTATTGTTTTTCCCCTCCATACAGAAATGTCATTTTTGCCGATTGACTTGATTTTTTTTCCAACATGTAGCTCACTATATGCGCATGCCAATACTATACAATTTTTTTCCTTATTAGCAAGCCAGTCGTAGAAAAATCTGTTTGAATTTAGGGGATCACAGCGGATCCCACGTGCTCAAAGCATTATTAACTAGCCGCGGACCCCAGGGCCTGCTGTAATATTTTTTTATTTTAAGTGACGGCCTACCGCAGCAGATTTATTGGCACCCGCCGCCGGACTCCATGTCTTGCTGATCTGAAACCATGCTATATATTGCTGGCAGTGAGAGTGTTAAAAAAATAAGAATTCGAAATTTAAATATCTGTTGTAGAACTTGAAATGATGCCAGTACAGTCAGTCTTCAAAGATTTTAAAATTAGAATGCAGTATTTGCATCAATTAATTTCAATTTTCTTTCATGACGTCAGCTGAACATTATAGATTAATGTATGTATTTTACAGAGTAATTTCATATAAAATGTCTGTGACGTATATACTTTCTAGCAGATATAATATGAAGTAAAATTCGAGTATATAATCTCTGTTTGAGGCTACGTAGATATCTACATATTCTGAATATGTCCCATTAGAGCAAAATGAACACATTTGCATATTAAAGCATAGTTACTGTTCATATTTTAGTGCCTATATTCGCATTGCTAATTTTTTCGTGTGGTTTCCGCATCTAAGGAAATTCCTGACGTTGACTGTATATTATTTAAAAAATAATTGTGGTATAAACATTATCCTGGTTCGCCTCACTAATAATATTTGTATGAATCTGTTTTTTTTTTCAGTTATATTTACAGTTTGGGTACATACATTTTAACTACAACAAAACTTCTCTTTCAGAGATTTCTATTTTAGAAGCATTACAGATTTATTTATTTCAGGCTACTATTGGCCCAGATTATAAATATCTTAGTCTTAGTAGTTAATTAGTTAATCTATACTAACATACATATGAATTATACTATAAAAGCTTTGATATTTGATCTATTCTCTTATAAAACTTAGTTTTAATTACTCTGTGCAGTGATCTAGATATTCATAGTGTTTTTTATCTCTTCTTTTAGCTCCGGTGATTTGTGTTGCCACTAGCCATATTCATAGTGTTTAATCAGATTAATTCAATGACTATTCGTGTCCCAAAAACCTGCGGGTAGAGAATTCGCGGATATCCATCAAGCACTGTATTTATAAGTCACGATTCGCCCATCTGCGTAGAAATGGGACATAAATCGGCGCGTCGTCGACAGTTTGAACGTAGCTGGGTGATCTCAGCCGTCCATTTTGTTTGAGAGATCTATGGTCGTGTATCTAGACATTTTTCAACCAATTTAAGAAAGCGACACTTTAAAAAAAAATCCCGTTTTTGTTAATTATACTGTATGTAAGTAATTCATTACACATATAATGATAAATTACACATTTATGGAGAGATATATATATAATGAATAACTTATTTATACAGATAGATATAAATATACATAAATAATTAAGCCTCAATGATATTAGCCGGCAGTGCTGTAATATGCCTTTTCTCAGTAGGCATGCAAATTTATTACTAAACCTAACATTAATACATTATAATTTATTACAATAATTAGGTGGGTACATATAATGTTTAATTATAATTGTTATAATGTTTTTACAACTAGTATTACATTTTTTTTTAAATTAAATTCATAATTTAATTGTCGTCCAAAGAGTAAAAACAGTGCACTAATAGACAATTCACGCCATCTAGTGTCAAGCTAAACAGAGCTTGTGTTATGAATACTATATAACTGATACAAATATATACATATTTAGTTTTTCTTTAATACAAACTATCATAGTCATGAATACAAATAATCAAATCAAAGAATCGAACCCGCGACCATCGCAAGTAAGGCGGTGTCCTAAAGCGCCTGCAATTTAAATTGTTGAAACTGAGATACACATGAAGACGAATCTTTAGTACCTCAGTTTATTCTAGTTACTTAAAATGTTCACAAAGTTTATAATTGCTTTATGGTTATCAGTTTATGGTTCTCTGCTCTAGTTGTCTACAAGTACCATAGAGTATACGGAATAGTTTCAGTTGTTATTCATAACGTAGCTCTTTTCCGTTTTTATTCGTAGCTCATAAAGCGATGTATGGCGACGGAAGCGAGATACGCGATTTAGCGACAATATTAAATTTAAAACGAGCCGTGCCACCAACTTTTATATCATCATAAACAACACCAGTAAAGTTTATTAATATTACAACAAAATGTACGTGTTTTGTTTAATTATAATAAAAAAATTAATTACCTACTAACTGTTAGGTTTATATGGGGGTTTCATGACAAACATCAATTTTTTTTTTATGTGATTATTTTTATTTTTTTAGTCCTGCCACCTGCGCTAACAGTAGACGCTGGTGGGACACCAGTGGAAGATGATAGGATGAGTATGAGGTCAGGTCAGTTAGTCTATCGTGGTAAATTCACCAGGAATTAACACGATCCAGGGGAAACAGCGTGGACAACCTGAGATGGTACATTACTAAGAATGGTATCAACAATCCGTATTACTAACAATACCCGTCCCCCAATATATCAAAATTGTTCATTAGCATACATATATTGATACTAAGTTATGGATTTTATGTGGTTAATGGGTGGATAAATGAGAATGCTACGTTTGGGCCTCTTCCAATGCACGCCTCTGAGCATCATCTTCAGCCGTCTGAAGTCTGAAGTCGTCTGATTATGGGTAATAATCAGACGAAAAGGGCTGAAGTTTATGCAACACTATGTATATCGTCACTCAACCTAGCTGTGATTTAGTTAGTTTGGGCTTGAATAAATATTATTGTTTGGCGAGTTATAATAATTCTAGACACTTTATATAACGCTGTATGTATATCCTACGCTAAGCAGTGCTTATGTTATGTGTGTAGTACCCAGCTGACAAGAACGCCACTACACATCCTATGTGATTGTAGCCCACTTAACGCATAAACGAAATATCTCCTCAGGATAGAGTATGGACTATACATACTCTATACATACATCGTGAGTATGTAAAGTCAAAGTAAGAATATCCTTCAATTCTTGTCTACAGGTCGACCTGGATTGATCGAATGGCGAGCACAATCGATCGATTATATACACTATCATATACAATATCATATAGCAATATGATATTGTATATAATATGATAGTGTATATAATATTCAGGTATACAGGTCTCTTTAATAACTAGTAATTGGGGGAAAGAGTATTGACAATGTCAGGTTGATCTCCACGTAGTTCCCCCAGAAAAACATCATGTTAAATTCCTGGTGAGTTTATACATATATATGGCCTATCGTAGACTAATTGACCTAACCTGTTGAGCCATCATCGGAGGCGGATACACCATTCCATTAACATCCATAAGAAAATAAACTTAGTAATAGCCTAAACCCCGTAATAAAAAA